TAAATCTTCTAACTGAAGATACAGGTTATTCTATTTTGTGTAAATTTTAATGTGTGATAATAATTATTTTATGGATAAATTTATTGAAAGAAGTTTGATAACTAATTTTATAATCATTTTAATTTTCTCTCATAGTATCATGTATAGGAAATGCAATTGCTTATTTAGCTATTATAATTACATAAAAATTACAGGGGTATTTGTAGGCCCACAGAAAATTAGCATGGAGATTTTGACTCTCACAGATAGAAGAGGTATGACAACATGCAACTTCAGGAATAAATGTTGATGTATGTTTAAACAGTAGAAGAATAACATTTTAAAACGCAGACTAATGGAGCCTATAGTATACATAAATTTTCAGTCACCACTTTCATTGGTCATTTAAAACAACAAATTAGCAGTTCCTTCTTGATCCACTGTATTTTAAATCATTTATAATGCCTGGATATTTGTACCCTGTTGCAGTTTATACAATTTACATTACTGTAAGCTGCTCCATTAGTAATCTGTGTGGTGCAGAAAAATAACATTCATTGAAATGGTAATATTAAGAAGATGTAATTTTAAAGTTAGCATTTCCTTGCAGCTGCAACCACACCAAAGGACTGTAGCCCATCCCTCTCACCCTTAAATGCCAACACATTCTCAAAATCAATGGACAGCAGTGTTCTATCAAGGTATGTTCTGCTTTTTGGTAAACTTTAAGTAGAAGGACTAAGTGACTTAATAATTATGTACAGCTCTGCAAAGATAATCTTCATTTAAAACAGAAGATAATTGTCTTTTGGGTTGTTGCTCCATGTAGTCTGGTAGAAGCTTACCGACATATCAGAGGTCCTTGCTGCCTCCATCATCATTGCCCTCATGATGGTGGCAGCAAGGACCTCTGAAACATTGATAAACTTCTACCACATTACAAAGTCCATCTTCAGACTCATCACCGTGAAAACCTCAAATCCTTCCTTTAAAACACTTTTTATTCTTCGGGTTTTCTGGTTTGCTTTCAGTTACGAGAATACTTTGTGTTACTGTTCATAATAATCCCTTTTAATGCTACACATAAGATATCTTGCTTAAATCACTAGTCTGTTTTTGTGTGATGTTTGAGAAGATGGGTGAAAGAAACATGCCCCGCTATTTTTATCATTTGAAGCTAATTATTTGTGCAATCAGAACATTAGATACTATATAAGATTTTATATTATGGAAATTTACTATCAAGGTTTCTTTAAATAAAAAGTAACATGGAAAGGATTAACTATATTTCTGAACATTTGTTGATAAATGAATGGTGATAGAGTAGAAACAGATGAAGGCTAGTTGAAGCAGAATTACTGATAACTTACTATGATTACTGTTTTTAATGGTTTGTATTTATTTAAAATGAACCAGTGGTTATATTTATTTGTACCAGATGAAAGTACACGTAAATTGCATCAAAATATATGCATGCTGAGCAATGTGAACAGAGAGACAAACACAGCAAAACTAATGCACAGTTTTGCTTATTTGGGAGAGTGTATTCATAAGTTCTTTCACATATTCACAGAATTTTTGAATGAGTTGCATCCACTCCTTTTAATATTATCCTTTTATCTATTCCTATGAGTCCCACATATTCTTTCTTTGAGGTTTTTCAAATAACATTTTTTGTGTGCTTTCTTCTGCCATGTGTGCTACCTGTCCTATTCATAAAAATCCTCCTTCACTTCATCATCGTAATTATTTGTATGTACGAATAAGGTGTAATTTATGTGAATATGTATAAGGGTTAGTTGTACACATGAAAACAATAAAACAAATATCATGAGTACAGGTCCAAGAAGTGGCAGCATGAGGAGAACAGGAGCTGAGGGGAGGCACTTGGTTTGATATTTCCATTTGGAGTGTAGAGTGGAAGTAATGAATGTACATGCCAAATCAGAAATTTTGGAAGGCAGAGGAGAGATGTCTTTCCAGATCCATGTTCACACAAACTTTTTTTCCCTGGTCTGATGTATAAAACTCACCCTTACATTTTTGTGAAATTTGTAAATTGCACTGAGTACTTAATAAACACAAAATAGTCAGACATATGAAATGTAAGATAATTATGAAAGGAAACCAAATAATGTCTTTCCATTGTGAGCAGATCTGTGGAGCAACTCAGCAATCCTCTGGAACTGGAAGTGCGACGGGGCATAAAAAACCCCCAACATCTCCCTCCACCTCCTCCAGTGGTGTCCCAGCAGCAGGGACGTAGTGGTAGCCGAGGTGGAACTTGGGGCAGCATCTCACGAGTTTTTGCAAGAAGCAGGCATCGCAAAGTGGCAAGTCCTAGCAGCCAAGAGGGTAAGTCACCCTCAATGTCTCGCAGGGCTGGCTGCAGTGTGACCAGACGTGATGGAATGTGTACCACAGACACTAGAACAGGAGGCTGGGGTTCTCGACACTTACATAATAGGTCCCCAGAGAGTCACAGCTCATATGAGATGTCGTCAAATGGTCGCATGGGTCGCGGATCACGGTGGTTTGATCGGGAACCAGGTAGACGCAGGACCCTTGACGAGGGACGTGCAAGCCGAGGTTACGGAGAAACTGGAAAGGAAGCCGCAGAGAGACATGGAGCATATGAGATGACAGCAGAACAGGCTAGGCAAGGGGTGCAGCAGTACATAAAAGATATTGAAAGACTTGGGGCTTCTGATGCATCTACAGAACGAATAGGATTAGTCATGCAACAGTACAGCAAGGATTTAGAACGGCAGGGAACATATGAGAATGTAGCAGAAATCACAGGGGAAGACATTTGGCATTACAGTGGAGAGAGTGATCCAGACAAAGATGAGGGCGGCATTTATGAGAACATTGCCGAGATACGAGCAGGCAACAGCTACAGCAGTGACAGGGAACTAAATAAAAGCACGGGTATATATGATACACCAGCTGATATACTTGCTCATGAGGAGGGGGACAAAGGGGAAAAGCATGTGGAAACATACGAACCCACATCCTCAATGGCAGGCATGAGATCAGCAAGTATGCAGCAATATGAGAAGGAAATTAACAGGCGGGTTGGTTCAGAGAGGGTGGGTGGAATGCGACAGTATATCTCATCATGTGTGTGCATGGGCCGTGGTGCTGAGAGTGGGGAGTTCTGATTCTGTGTTGGAACAATGGTAGTCTTCCCTCAACATTTAAATTTAGTGTATATTCTCAGTATGTAATTTGATGACACTGTAAACAAGCCTTGCATATCCTTTCTTAACTTCAGCATTAAAAATAAGTTCAAAATTTGCACTAAAATTCTCATCAGTTTGTTACCAAATCCTTATTTTCACCTTCTCTTTAAATGTGAAATAGGGACATAATATTTCCCTGTAAAATATGGGAATACAATTAATTGAATAATTGACTGTAGGACTGAAATAAAAGAAGTGAAATAAATGCCACATTATGTAGTCTTATAATATACTGTACAAAAGAATGCATCCACACATATGGTTCGATGTTTCTAAGCAGAAGGAAATTCTAAAAACTTCATTACTGAGCAACATAATCAAAAATTTATTCTAACACATGATTATTGGATAGTTCTTGTAGAAATACATTGAGAAACTTATTTTCACACACTAGTGCAAGTTGTTTTGTTGTGTTAAGAACACATTTATAAAATGTGTTGGCATCTTATGATTTACTTGTATAAAAGCCTGTAAATCAAATTATAAGAAAGTAAAATAATAGCAAGTAGCCTCAGTATAGCCCATTCTAATGAAGTATTTTAGTGTTCAATATTTTAAACTAAAAATACCTTATTGATCTGTCATGCTGGTACAAAATTTTGATAATACAGTTTTAATGAAAGAGGATCATCACATACAGTGTCATGTTTATAGAGTGACAATTTTTTAAAATTAAATAATGCTAAGGCGGGAACCAGGATAATAAAGTTTTATTTCCTGTTAGAAAAAAATGATCCATAATATCTCACTGATAATGTGGTGTTCATTTCGACATGAAAAATTATACCTTCATACAAAATTATAAGTGCATTTATATCCTCTTATCATATACAGGTAGCCCTCGATTTATGCCGGGGATGCGTTCCTGGAAGAACCGGCGAAAACGGAATCTGCGTAAATTGAAACTCTTTTATAATGTAAATCAATGGGAAGTCAATGAACTGAGTAGTGAGACGAGTAATATAATGGCTTTACATTTATCCCAGCACCCAAATACTGACGAGTAATATAATGGCATTACATTTAAAGCTCTGAAATAACGAAAATAAAATAAAGGGAATTTAAAAAATATATTTTATACACTTACAATCGGCAATTCGTTGGTCCCCGCGATTGACTGAGATTCTTTTACGTGATTGATGTATACAGTCATCTCCGCTGTTATGCGATAGTTGCATTCATGTAAGATGCCGACCCATAGAAAATCGCGTAGTAAAAATAACCCCGGTACATCCGCAGAAATTAAATTAGTCCTTTGAAAGTTTAAAGCGCCAGGAATGAAATTGCATAAGAGCAAACTCGCATATGCAAAAGTTTGCATTTGAAAGTGTGTGTTGTTTCTTTATTCTCTGTGTTGGATATCAATATCACACAATCCCATCTTTGAGGTTAAGAAAGGAACAAATGGTGTCATGTGTAACATTCGGAAAAGAGGGAGGGCTTGCCACTGTGTTTTCTGTTCAGCAATATTCAAATACTTTCCAATGTTAAGCTGCTGACTTTGCCTATCTGCTTTGTTTGCAGCAGTGCTGTGTATAATAACTACAGAATTTACTATTTTCTTAAAAGTATGTTGCTTGAAATTCATAATGTAATTGACTGTGCAGTAAATCCCACTTAAGGAAGGTCCTCAATGAAAATTGTTATCCGTCTTAATAAGTTGCTTCCTGTTCCAGACTTATTTTCCTCTGTAAAAAATGTTCCCCTTGTGTGTAATTTTTAAAGAATTTTACTGTACTGTAAGTATTGAGTGAAAATTGCCATTCAGAATAGGGATCAAATCCAAAGAGCTTCTGTAGAGAGCTGCTGTACCACACATCGACTGATGAACATGCTGACAATTTCATTATTCAGACTTCCTGAAATTACCTCAGAAAATTTGGTTGGAACGCTATAGGTTGTTTGTCCAACATACCCTTGTGTTACATAAGATGCCACACTGGTAGAAGCATGCTATAGGTTGTTTGTCCAACATACCATTGTACTACATAAGATGCCACACTGGTAGAAGCACAGGCAGATTATGCACAAAGTATAAGAATTAATTCTTATTGTCTTTGGCTGTGTTAGCTTTCTTCATACTGCATTATCAAAGACAATGAGATAAAACAGGTAACTTTTTTGAAATTGCTAGAACTTCAACCAAATTATTAATTTCTCAGGTGATCAAAAATACCTGAAAATATTTCAGAAGATGAGAGATTTGTGCTAAAACTTGGAAGAAAAATTCAATGTAAATATCAACCAATGTTTATGTACTGATATGTATCAACTGAAAGTACTTTTTGAACATAGAATTTATGATTTTATGAAGAATATTTAAAACAGTTGACTCTGTGAAATAATGTAGTGGTGAGAGAGAGAAAGAGGAGGGAATGGGGAAAGAAAATTTAGAATATCCACACCCAACATAAATTTTAATTTAAGAATATTGAATTATTCATAGTGGAATCAAATTACAGCCTGATCATATTGTCCGTGCAAATGTGCATTCACTCCAGGCCAGTGAGAACAAGTTACAAAATGTACAAATAGCATAACATGGCTGACACTTTCAGCAGAATTGACATTTGACCTTTCTGAATGGTGCCAGTGACATGAGAGTTGTCTTTATTGTTGGTGTGACTATAGCAATAACCAAGGTAGCTTCGGGATTCCCCATTAAAATATTTCCACGCGCACATGCAGAAAAACATGTAGGTCTCCTCGTAAAATATCTGTTATCCGATTTCCACCACAATTGGCATGTCTTGAGTAACATTAGTAAAACTGCCCAACATCAAATTTTATGACATCCTATGTTTTCAATTTTAATAAGGTAAACTGCAAATGTGTCTAAACTTCATATAATTTTAAAATGAGGTACTGTAGTATGAATATTGATGCAACTGTAAGTACCAAGTCATTCAGGGGAAACTAATTATAATAAATACAAGAGGTATGTCTAAACTTGTATTTAGCATGTGATTTGAAGGAGGAATGGCATGCATCCCAACAGATGGTCTCAGATTTGATCTCATTCATTGGTTCTTAACCTCAAAATAAAAATCCCTGTTAACTTCATAAACAGCAGTGTTTGCAAATGAACCACAAATGTATGATCAGGTGGCAACAGACTTGCATCAAAATGTTTTTTTTTATGTTTTGGTGTTGTTTGTGTACTCTTTTGTGCTTAATCCAATGGATTCTTTCTGGTAAGTGCCCATGAGTCTTCTCTCTTCCCACAACATGGATAGTAAAAATTACTGCATTTCTGAAGATGCAGCTCTGTGCTGTGTCTGGTGGCATGATATGGACCACCTTTAAAAACATGTTGTAGATATAGTGAACATGTCACCATGTTTGAATATGTTTCTTTCATGGCACCTGTCAGCAATCACCGGTAAGTGTTTGTTTCCTGTAACTTGTGCAATTTCCACTGTGTGAAAACAATCCTTCATTTATTCAATGTGAAAGAGATTGTAGTAGCATGTACTAATTTATACTTAATGTTGTTTTATATGTTATGATATTTTAATATGCTAAGATGTATATATTTAGTAAATTCTGTAAGACTTAGTTGTTGCTGATGTACACTGAATTTGATTATCAAGGTAGAAACTCTGACTAGTGCTATAACTGTCTCAGCAGATTCAAAAAGTCTGGCTGTTTTTTTGGGCTGTCTCCCTTCCCAGACGTGAAGTATAGTGAGGATACTAGAGTGAATTCAGTATCCATAATTGCATCAGGAAAGGGAAGTGGAAAGACAGAAATTTTAAGTGATTTATTGAATTTTTGTTTTAATTTAATGTTTTCTTAGATTAAATAGTGTATCATTACTAAAATTACATTTATAGCTGCTCACATTTGCCCTTCAAAATTGACATAAATATGAGTAAAGGATTGCAGGCTCAGAATTAATAAGTAGTCGTATCATACCTTGATTCCCTGTGTTTTTAATGAAGATGTGTATGTTAATACTAGAACATGGAAAATTTATTTGCACTATTTTTGTTTTATATTTCTTTAAAAACCATTTTCTATGGATTTATAAGAAGTTGTGTGGTCATCTGGTTAGTATCGCTTGACCAGAGTTAAAGAATGCAACATGAAAACTGAAATCCCCATCACTGATAACTGTGAACCAAGGTATACAACTGAGATCTGATGTCCCTATGGTGCTGAATATGTTGTCTTCTGGGTTGTGATAGCATGTAGTGTTGTGGATAGTTACCATTATTTCAGAGAAACATATCATATCAAAACTGCATAGCATCACAGCCCAGAAAACCACAGTTAATTAGATATTCAAGTTCTTATTTCATGTGTTACGATTGTGTTTATAATATCACATGAAATAAGAAAGTACAGAAAACAGCACTTCACCCTGAAGATGAAGGTGATTCTTTCCTCTGAAACGTTGGTAAACACCTACAAGACTGCACAGCACCATCACAACCCAGAAGACCACAATTGACATTTCTGTTTCTTACCATTTGGTTTCATAAGAATATCTGCAGAGACAGTGATCCAACTATATTAAATCCTGTGTTGTTACATTATGTTGATTATTTGAACGTCAACACGTAATTGGTTTAGGTCTGTGCTTGTTTCTTCTTCTTTATGAACATGCATTATTGAGTTTTACATTTTGTCTGACACAGATATTACCATGCTGAATTTTTTTCAACCTGTAGAACTTCATTTCGAAACATTATATTTACTATTAAAACATGAATCTGCCATATGTTTGGAATTCCATGGTATTGGATCCACTTGTTATGGAAACCCAAAAGTTTATCACTGTTACACTGTTACGGAGCCAGCCATTTTCCATCTGAACCAGGGCCTCCTAAGTGATTTCATACCTTGAGATTTTCTGTCAAAACTATACATTCTTACTAGTTTAAATTTTTCAGACTTCTTGAATCATCATTATTCTTAAGATTGCTGTCTTCTTGGTTATTGCACCATGTAGTCTAGTAGATTTCCACCAACGTTTCAAAGGTCACACTGCTTCCATCATCAGGGCGATTCCTGGAACATTGGTTTAAATCTACCAGACTACACGGCGCAATAACCCAGAAGACAGCAAATCTTCAGACTCACTGCTGTGAAAACCTCAAATCCTACATCATTATTCTTCCTCAAACAAAAAATTATGTTTTGGAGATGGCTCTTCCCCTGTCCTCAGGTGAACCTACACAATCAGGTCTATTAGAAGGAGCAAATCTTGATCTGCTACTCTGAGGAGATTATCTCCTTCTGAAGAGCCCATATGTTTATGTTCACCTGAGGACAGGGGGAAGAACCATCTCCTGAAACATAGTGGTTTTATGAGGAAGCATGAAGGATGATTGAAAAAGTCCAACACATTAAAAGTAGTAATTCAGCACCATAGTCAGTAACACTTAGAGACGAATGGTACATTCTTGTTGGTTCCTTCACGTATGCTGTATGTACTTTTTTATCTTAATGTTGTTGATTTAATCACCATATCAGTATTAGATGGATAGTACCAATAATTAAAGCTCTTCCTCGTGTTGCTTTTTCAACTCATCTGCAACTTTACCATTTTGGTCTGCAAATGTTCAACAAAATATTCTTATAAAAACTGTAAGTTTGTAAGTAGTATGAACATTAAACTGTTCTATTTCTCCTCCCAGTACTTTAACCTCTGGGAAAAGTTTTGCGGCAGCCCAAATTAAACTATATATTCACTTGATCCGTCTGGCTGTCCGTCCTGCCTGTTTAATAAAATATTCCAACCAGATTGTCTGTCCACTATAACCAAAATTTGGCATTACTGCATGAAGAAAACAACGTCCAGAAATACATGACATGTGTATTTTGAATTTTACACAACATATTTTCACTCAGAATGTTAGTCAGTCATTGGTCATGATATCCAGAAAAGTTTCAGTAGTGGAACATTAAAAATATTTATCCTATAAAGCTGAAGTATGTATCCAAATACATATTTCTTCCTTCATAAAAGTAATGTTACATGTTATGTTATGACACATAAGACTAATTCAAAGAAAACCTTCTTTAAACCAAAATGCTGTACAGTAAGTCATTCAGATATTAGACATGCTTCTTGTGCAATAGTATTTCCCTATCTTTGTATGTGCATTGATATGCTGCAGAACTCTTACATGAAAACTATTTAGTGACACTTTCCATTGGTTGAATCCAAAGATCATACTAGTGTGAGTGAAGTACACCTTATGGGCCAAAGTTTGTCTGTCTGTCTGTCCTGAATTTCCTAAAAAGTAGGCACTAGTAACTACCCATGACCTGAGATGTAAGCACATTGTTGCAACAGTGTGAACCTAGGTCATTGTTGGAGAACATTGTTGGCAATGTGTAATCCAAGGTTATTGTTGGCTCACAATGTTGCATCAATGGTCTTAGATCACATCATTACAGCAATGATCTTGGATACATTGTTGCCTTTCATACAGGGTAAATGACTAGTTGAAATATCAAAGAAGATCAACTTCAAAATTAGGCAACCATTGAAACCATGTGATATAATGCAATAGCTTCATGCTGCTTTGGTAAGGGAGTGTGCGACAGATGCAAAGTGTTGAATAAACCTCATGACTGTATGATCAGTTTTGTGAAAGTTTGAATGAGAATTGTCCTAGCAGAAAATAATAAAAAAAATATATTTGTACTGCAGTTTTACTGTTTCTTGAGTGTGTTGTGTAGTGATTGTTGTTAGAAGCAATAAGAAACAAAGGACTGAAGACTAAATTGAAATTGTTGAGGTAAAATCTGTTAAGCGGCACATACGTCTCCCATAGCTATGTCTATGAAGACGTGCAGAACCGCACATCAGAATATATTCAAGTAGCAGTTCAAGTCTTAACCAAAAAGGTTAACCAGGTTAATAAATATTGTTGATTAATCATTAGAGAGCAGCTAGAAGAAACATACAAGTTGCAGATTTCTAGCTGTATCTGTAATTGGTGTTCTTGAGATGCAGTAGTAGACGTACAATTCTGAAAGACTCTGACCTCGATAGAACCCACCTTCAGTTTTTCAGTGCAAATTATTTTTTTACTCTATTGATAACCAAAAAACGTTTGTTAATAGTACTTTTTTACCACTATAGAATTTTCCTGATTTTAAGCACGAGAATATCAGTCATCATCTCTTAAAGCTGATATGAAATCAATAAGAATGCCTTTTCTATTTTGTCGCAATGGGATGCGACTATGTCACTGTTGATCTGCAGCCACTAATGGGCTCACTGTCCATCCAAAATGATGCATGAGTGAATATAGAACAGTGGTGAAATGAAATTGACAGGGAATACTAAAGAACTTGGAGAAAAACCTGTCCAAGTGCCACTTTGCCAGCCCTTAGGAGCAAACTAGTGTCTCAGTCATGAGAAGCCAGGGACTAACTGCCTAAGCTATGGCTCAGTCAGAACTTACCTTGCTAAACACAAAATATTTCTGTAGTTCTATAAAAAGTTTAAAATGAAATCTTCATGCAGTATTAACTGTTGTGTAATTTTCCATGTGATGTTATTGCTTAGGATTATACTATTTTTTTTAATGTTTCTGCAAAAATCTTGTTATATATCTCTGTTCCATTGCCAGTCAAAGAATGTTGTATACTTCTGATCGTGAATCACTTTAAGCTGCGTAATGAGACCAGCAGCCACAGAAAATGTAAATAATAAATGTTAAATAAGATTCTGTAGCTAGTAAACAATCAAACAGCCACAGTATTGGAAAACTTTTTTTTATTAAATGTGTTACATTGATTTATGTTAATGCATGAGTTTGTCATGGTAGTGTGAACCAAGAGTATATTTTTTTCATTTACAGTTATATACATGTATAGAGGTAGGGGAATGCTCCAAAGGGCACTGATCTCATTATTATTATCACCACCACAACCACCAGCATCCCAATCGTCACACCATTATTATTATTATTGTTGATTGATCGATATCTTGGCTGTTAAACGAGTATGTGAATAAACAGGAAATTAAATTAATTTGAATTGAAGAATTACTCTTAGTCAATATGATATGAAATCACTCAGGCATTGTGGAACTGGAGTAGTGTTTCAGGCGAAGCCATGTAGGTTTACTTATGCAGTAGACGGATATCCTTGCAGATAACCTACACTAATTTACATTTCGATGAGACCCTCATTTAAGTTATTACAATAGGAATACTATTACAGTTTATTTTTCAATAACATAAAGTAAATATACTTTGTAATATAGAAGTGAAAAGATATTAACAACTTAAAAAATAGAATGTGAATGGAGATATGTGATAGTAAGGTGGATAATGTAATGTGGTATCACAAAGTCAAGCATCACATGGGAGTGCCAAACCATAGCAGTGATGTGGGGTGAAAAGTCAGGAATGATATTTTTCGTAAACTTTAAATTCACCTGCCAAATGAAGGCTGACTACTTCAGTGCCCCCATCTCTGTTTAGATTTAATTCAACCTGAACCACATTCAAAATGCTTGGTTCCATGCTGGGACAGCCCAGTGTTTCAAGCTGAATGATTGATAACTGATCTGATGCATAATATCAAGA